AAACATTGTACATTTGCTGTTATGTTAAACTTATATTAAAGTTATTCTTCATTACCCATTCAAGCCATCTCCAACCAATAATAGAATACATGTGATCTCTCTAAAATGTGTAATTTCATTTTTAATTCAAAACAAATGATTACAAGACATTATCTAACCTTAATATGGATCCAATTATTAGACCTGTCACAATTAATTAGTGTTAAGAAAGGGTCTACTCTAAGAAGCTTCAAGCTTATAAGTTACATTTTCAATTCTTGCCAAGTGTGGGAAACTGTTGTCAGATGTCATTCAATAAAGCATTTGAAATTTTACCATTTAATGATTCTCATCACAGTTTTAAGAAAAAGGAGTCATCCCAGTTGACAATGTATATCTTGACTTAAAGAAACCTTTGATACAGATCTCAGAAGACCAACTAAAAGAACGTGTTGCTTACAGGATTGTTAGGAAAATTATAATATAAATTGAAAATTGGCTTATTGGTAAAATGTAAAAGGTTAGAAATACAAATTTAATGTATGCTTTGTAAGCCTAGATACAGACTCAATTTATAATGTAATCTTTTTTTGCTTTGCTAAAAATATGTGCACTGTGCAATTAATTTACATTCTGTCAAAGTTTTGTTCAATAGGCATGTTGAATTAATTTACATTCTGTCAAAGTTTTGTTCAATAGGCATGTTGAATTAATTTACATTCTGTTAAAGTTTTGTTCAGTAGACATGTTGAATTAATTTACATTCTGTCAAAGTTTTGTTCAATAGGCATGTTGAATTAATTTACATTCTGCTCCTATGAACAAAACTTTAACAGAATGTAAATTACTTCAACATGCCTATTAAACAAAACTTTACATGTTGAAGTAATTTACATCCTGTCAAAGTTTTTTCAATAGGCATGTTGAAGTAATTTACATTCTGTTAAAGTTTTGTTCAGTAGACATGTTGAAGTAATTTACATTCTGTTAAAGTTTTGTTTAATAGGCATGTTGAATTAATTTATATTCTGTTAAAGTTTGGTTCAATATGCATGTTGACATGAAGGTCTGTATTTAGGTTGAAGTTGAAATATACACACACTAACTCACAAAAATTTGAACCTTGGAGTGCAGAAGAACTAGAAGTGCTTAAAATTGTTAGGGGCTTAAAAAATAGCTCGTGTGAGCTTTGCTGGAGAAGTGGCAGGAAAAAATCTATGCGAAATTCTAAATATTGAAGAAAATATATATAAAGGCATGGGATCCCCGGAACAAACTGGTTAACAGTCAAAACTTTGATTCTGTTAAACGTTATTAGTTTGTGAAATCATTTGTCACATGATTTAGTGGTTTCTGATACTAGTGGTGGAACTGTAATTTGAACTTAAGTTCTGTTGGAGAATTTTATGAATGCAAGAGTTTATGGGCCTATAAAAGTATTATAGAACTGGATATTGTGGGATTATAAAGGATATAAGAGAAAGAAATGGTGAAAGATATTAACACCAACAGTGAAAATTGTTTTAAGTATAATAAAAGAAAAAATTAAAAGCAAGGCTTAAAGGAATCAAGATGGCAGGACGTTGGTTGATGATTACAAAATGGCTAAGCACCTAAATGCTTTTTTCTCTCATCAGTTTTTATAAAAGAAGATGTAGGGCAATTCCATACACAGATCTACAACACCAGTAAACAGTGTTACTCTTCTAATACGGTGATTGGCTAACAGGATACTCTGCCTCGGCAAGTGGTAAAGGATGTAAAATTTAGGAGTTTAAAAGATTGGATGACTATTTTTAGAGAACAGGGTTGAATGAAGGAAAAGGAGTTTCTATATATAACTGGTAATAAAAAAAATAAGATAGCCTAAATGGGCAAAATGACCCTTTGTTATTCCTTGAAAGTGAAATCAAATATTTAATTTGAGCTGTTTTGTCACTAAGTGGCAGTGATGATGGGCTTAATAGCCTTACGTCCCGTACGTGTGTTATAATGTTAGTTTATAGCCCAATTATAATAGTTTTATGGTTTCACTTCAACAAATATATATATATATATATACCTTTCATTATTCTGGAAACAATATATACATTAGAGTACCACAAATACACAGGTAATTACAAATTGCATGTCTTTTCATTAAGAAGTGACAGAAAATACAAAAATAGTACACACACACACAGGCCACCCATTTCCTCCGATTCAGATGGTCTGTTTACAGTTCTGGTTAACTTAGAGCTGGTCACCAATATTAGTTAACTACCTATAAAAATTTTTGTCACATATGTCATGAACTCCCGCCATTACGTCCAGCAAAAAAATAATTGTCCTGTCTAGAGTTTGTAACAGAAAAAGCTATTGATCAGAAAATATGGTTCTGTTTATAGACAGAAAATAACATCACTGATAAACTACTGTTTAACCCAATTTTGTAATGTTTCTGTTTGTAGACAGAAAATAATAACACTGATAAAACACTATTTAATCCAATATGTTGTCTGTACTCTCTATTATTTATTTTTTCTTGATGTTCAAAAACACTTGATATTATCAGATCCAGGAACATAATCCAGGGTTAAGGTGAGAGACAAAACTGGCATAATGAAAAGTGACAGCAGTATAACAAATGAACTGAAGAAGTTTTACTTTCATGATAAAATAGTTGCCTAGTTTAGTACTATCTCTCCCCTTTTCAATGTTTGTGACTGTTCGATTGACACATTCTATTAGTGTTCACATACCCTCAAAATGGTAACAAACTGATTTATATCATAATATATATATTGCTCAATATTCCAACATAAAACTTGTTGTGGGCTGTTTTACTATGGAGTTGTCCATTTTTCATGACTTCCATCAGGTTGTCTGGAAATAGAGCAAAATGGCAGAAGTCCATGGTAAAGCCAGTCCATATGATGGACATACTGCCTAAACCTGGCTTAAAAAATTCAAGCATATTATTTCTTCACCCCCATAACACAACTCTTCCATACATTTTTTTGTTTTTCAGCTAATAATTGTTTTACCTACATTGTACAAGTTATAACAAGTATCATGAAAGTATTTAAAGTTTGGTAACATAACTAACGTTAAAGCCTGAATAGGCATATTATTCCAACAGTAACAATTGTTGGAAGAGATGGCCATGTATTAAAACAAAGTTCAGAGAATTAACATAGCAATGATAAACATCAGTCTAATTATTAGACTATATTTTTAAAAATGCAGTAGGAACTTTATAGGACTAATGCAATAATATAAAATTATTATAAAGGTATAGCTGTAAAATATAACTTTGAAACAGGATACAATCAACTACAACTTATAAGTCTCACTAACCATTATTTTTAAGTTTAAAACTTATCATTTCTAAAAATCTCATCGAAAATCACTAGGCCTGTTGACTCAATATTGTATTTCAACTTCGTGTTTCACAGTAATTTCATTTATTGCGTTAATCTTCCAACATTTTACAGATTCCAGTTCTTCTGAAAACTTTATCACGACGCTAAGCCTAACTACATCATGACAGAATTACAAAAGATACTAGAGTAATCTTGTCAACAGGAAGGTCTAGAAATTATTGGTTTTACTTCTAAGTTCTACTTCAATATCCTAAGGTATCAAATTTCATATGTACTATATAAATTACCTCACTATTTAAGTTGAAAGTACCTGATATAAATTATAAGTATAGGAATCAACTAAAAGAACAAATTTCGCTATCCATCATATTTCCTGTTCACTTATAAAACTTCTCATCACCACCACAAGTTAGAACATTGAAATAGTTACTAAGCCTCCTTTTCCTCAAATAGATGGTTGAATAACAATTACGCCTTTAATAAAGAATATACGCTAATCACAGCTCAAGAACGATGTTGAAGCGGAAAAGGCCTTGATTTTTTTTTCTTCACAGAACTGCTTTGTTTCTTCTTTCTGCATTAGTATATTTTTATACCATCATACAAAATAATCTTACTTTACAAAACATTTTTCAAAATCAACTACTATACATAATATAATAACAATTATATATTTCTTCAACTTTTTAATTTCAAAAACAGTAATAAAAAATAGCATCTAAAATTGATAATATATTACATTTTGCGAAATTAATCGATGCAATAACATACCAGTATTTTTTTTGAAGATTGTTTCTTGTTTCAAATATCAAAAGATATTGTATTTTATCGAAATGTCATTCATTATTGTTTTTAATGTGTGTGTTAAAAGTATAGTCGATAGTCATTTTACTATTGTAACAGAAAAGGCTTTTTTTTTTCTGGAAAGCAAAAATGACGCTACATCTAGATAGTCTCATAATACTTTGATTCAAATACATAGTGTAAAATTTTATGAATTAGTTACTTCCATGTAAAAATACAAAAGAAGCAAGGCTTGATTCAGAACTAATGAATAAATTGTGATAAATAATGTCTTTAAATTCCCAAGAAATAAGCTTTAACTAAATGTTTTGGGTAAATTAAAAAAGAGTGTATAGTTAATTGTTTAGTTACTTGTAAAACTTAACAATGGGTACAGGATTGTACCACGCGTTTCCTGCTCTCTTAGTTAATAAGTAAATTTTTCGAACTTTCTGTATTTTTAGTTTGTTTCATTTGAACTTAGAGAGTCACTCAAGTAAATCTCTAACTTTTCCTTATACGAGCTGTGTCTAGGAACTGGTTCACCATTTGACTTGTATTGTTTTGCAGGAAATATAGTTTGTAACGTCCCGGGTTAGAAGACTCTCTTTTCTGTTGGCGAATAAGAAAGTGACCCAGGACTGCTACGTCCTTGTACTTGAATTGCAGTGGACGAAGGTTACGTGCACATGTACTGTGGCATAGACAATCTGGCTTTGTTATTGTAATTTTAGTATTAAAAGCCAGGCTAAGATTCAGGTTTTAGAATTACGGATTTAGTAATTTTAGCTTTTACGATGTTTCCTTAATGTAGTTTTCATTTTCTTCCAGAGGTCTTTCATTTAAAGGGATTGTTTCAGTTCTGTGGTTTAACTTTATTTATTGACTTTTGCATTTTAAATCGTTGTTTGTTAATTTGTAGGCTCGAACTAATCTAGTGGTCAGGGCGTTTGACTTGCAACCTGAGGGTCATAATTTCGAATCCCTGTTACCGAACATGCTCGCCCTTTCAGCCGTGGGGGCGTTATAATGTAACGGCTAATCCCACTACTCGTTGGTAATAGGGTAGCCCAAGAGTTGGCGGTGGGTGGTGTTGACTAGCTGTTCCCCTCTAATCTATCACTGCTAAATTAGGGACGGCTAGCACAGATAGCCCTCGTGTAGCTTTGCGTAAAATTCAACCCAAACCAAATAAACTTTGTTAGATTATTCTGTTTATTCTTGAGTTAGCATAATGTATTTTCTTACATAACTAACTAGATGAAGTTATTTACATAATTCATTTCATTATTCTCTCTTACAACAACTTCTCTTGAGTAATAAAATATTTTTCTTGTGATTTAAGTATTAACTTTGCCAATCTGTGTGTAACACAATAAATATATATTATTTCATATATTTCGAAACTCAATTATATTGCAGTTTACGTTTTAACCGCCAGATTTGTCAACAGCACAAGAAATGGAGGCTTCATGTGGTGATACTCATGGAGTAGAAGTACGTGAAATCGGAGGCAGTAAGGTGAGATTTCCGTGTTTAGTTTAATAATAAAAGTAGAATGAAACACATTTATATAACCTTTGTAACTAATATTATATTATTGGTCTAAAATGGCTGCTTCATTCTGTGAAATAGTAGCAAGAAAAAAAAATATGACTTGCTTTTTTAAATTTTAGTTTGACGTTTTGAGCTTGAGACAGTGAGTCACAAAATATCACATTTATTTAACTTATTTTAGGTTAAAAATATATAGATTATATTGTTAGCTTCTTATAAAAATTGAAGTTGCATTTATTTAAGTTAGGAAATATATAAAGTTAAAAGTGTTGAATGGTTTTTTTGTTACTTCACGAAAATCAAATTTGCGTCATAAATTTACTTTATAAGTTATACTGATAGTATTAATATTATTATTACAGCTTTGCAACATAGTTTTAAAATGTTTTTACTTATAAATTGAAATTCTGGTTTATCACGTAATACAACTTACAAGCAATAACTGAATAAGACAATAACATTAACTAATGTAACTTGTAAGGATAACATACCAACAATCAAGAACCATTTAGTCTTTAACTTGAGTTCAAGGCTTTCCTGGCACAGAAAAGTAAAATTTAAAATAAAAATACTGAACTGCTAGTTACTGTAGCACTCAGTGACACAAACATAATTAATCAACTGCTTGTCTGCTCAAACCTTGAAGTTTTGTTTATTTAATTTTAAGAACATGAGGAAATATTTTATATAAGTGATAGAAAGTTATTTGGTCCTCCAGTGTCACCTAATAAAGAAATCTGTACAATCTTAGTATAACCCATTGCATTAGTTTATAATTACTGTAAATCTTTGTTGTGTATATAATGTGTGGTGTAGTTGTTAGATGTGTGTTTAGTTTATAATTACTGTAAATCTTTGTTGTGTATATAATGTGTGGTGTAGTTGTTAGATGTATGTTTAGTTTATAATTACTGTAAATCTTTGTTGTGTATATAATGTATGGTGTAGTTGTTAGATGTATGTTTAGTTTATAATTACTGTAAATTTTTGCACAGTACTTGTACAAAGGCTGAACTTGAGGTTAATATGGTATGATCCTCGTCATACCCCCACATGGATGTCGGTTTCTGGTAGTCGACTTTTGGATGCGGTCGACTTGCCCTAACCATTAGACACCACTTTTGGCACATCCCTTAATTAACTCACATTCTGTTTATAAGGCAGATTGAAATTATTATATGTTGTGTTCTGATCACTGTCCAACCTGTGTTCTCCTCACAGTTTTCTGTCCAGATCGGTCACACTTTCCATGTCTGGGCAAAGAGTATACTCGGTACAGAAGTGATGTGGTCTCCCACATATATTCCTCTTTTTTTAGAGGCTGCTTCTACTTTCTTCCCATGTGCTGGTCCTCCCATCTGTTCAGTGTGGGATTCTAGCTATGTATGTGAACGGAAGTAAGGTAATTCCCACTCCTCATTCCCACTGTTAACTGGTGCTTCAGTTTCTGTCTGAACTTGAAGTGATAGTTAGGTAGAATAGCAAGGATGGAGTCATGTGGGTGTGTGGCACTTTAATTGGTGGAGGTTTATCACATGATAGTTTGCATTCAAGAATCAGTTAAACCATGTGAATCAAAGGGTGCATGGGAGTGAAAGGCTTGTGGCATGTGAACAAATTTTTGCAAGTAGAGGGCAGCACTGAACAAAAATAGCTATGTATGTGAGCAGAAGTAAGTACCTGTTGGAAATACATTTCCAGTATAGGAAAATTATAACATTTGTAGACATTAGATTGGGTTAATTGTAATATAAGTATCCTCCTAGAATTGCCATGTGATCCTTTGTTAAAGTATTGTTGTAGCATTCTATTTGATTTGTAATTATTATATATTTTTTCATAGTTTTGATAGTTTCTGGTAAAACTATCATAAGGTGAATAAAAAAAATTGTTTAAATAAATAAATATTAACTATTTATTCACTCTGTTTCTAAAGGTAGTTACCATAATTACAAATCTATAAATGTTTTACTTCCTTATTCATTTATGCAAATTTTTGCACCTACAGTGCATTAATTTGTATTATTAGTATTTTTCTTTCAATAAATATTTAATTCTATTGAGTTGGTTATGAGGATAAGTAAAATTTTTCTCTCTGTATATTTACTTGGACCGTCATTGTAAGCTAATGATTTACATTATGGTATATCATGGTTTTTAGTGGTTAAATTAGGTTTTAAGCTTTGTCAATAATATTTCAGTAGAACCAGGTCAGTTATTTATTGACAAATTTTCAAGTGTCATCACTGCTAGTATTGAATCATTATATTTGTTTGATTTTTAGGTTTGACACAACTGACTTGTTAAATTATAAAAACTAACAGCTGAGTGTTGCTTGGAAAGAAAGTAACATGAAAAGAAAAAAACAACAGTTTGACCTAGGAAAAAAAAGTAAAATGGAAAAGCTGTGACATTATTGTGCACTGTACTGAATATAGTTATATTGTGTTTTCTAATAATGAATAATTTATAGATAATAATAGCTTCATCAATAGTTTTTTGGGCCCCAAAACAGTATCAGAATGGTTATTAATAACTGAGATATAAAATAATGAAAAATCAAACAGTTAGGACTACAATCAATGAATTATATATTCTGTTACTTTTCAGTTAATTTTCTACCATTACTTTATGTAATTTTACTTTTCTTTCTGTTATTTTCTTTTCTACATGTACCTCCCAGCTGAGGCAAAAATTCTATTTTTGGGATTGATTTTGATTTTCTTGAATTTTTAACATTTTTGGAGCACTATATTACTGATCTTATTACTTATTTTATGTGTGTAGCAATAATGTGAAAGTAGAACAACAGTAATCATTAGGTATAGTGTGAACACCTTTTACAAACTGGCAAAGCAGGATTATATTTATACTTGTCATAAAGCATTAGTATTGAGCCTAATATATTTTTAATAACCACATTCTTAATCTAGTATCTTAGGGATTTTCAAGAATTTGAAGAATGTATAATAATAGCATTCCAACTACACTATATTCATTATATCCATTGCTGACAACCTGTTTCACTCAATCCAGAGCTATTCAATCTGGCTGGGATACAATAAACAAAGTAGTGGTCAGAATAGTATTTATATAAGTAATTTGTTGCTATGGTTTCATTATCTGATTTTGATAACTATAAACATATTTCCTGCTGCCATATTGGCTAAAAACTAAAGATTAAATCCTTATAGTAATGTTTATGTTATTGTTTTGATATAGGAGTAGTAAAAGGGAAAAACATTTATGGTTATACTAAGGACATTAATACACTCTTTCTTTGTCAAATAGTGTAATTTACTAAGGTTTGATAATGCACTAGAATTACCAAGTATGGTTGGTGCAACTTTAAATAATCTATGTTAAAAAACTACTTTCTCTTGACAATTGTTTTCATTGTTTTCTTTTTTTTGAATAGGGAAAGGGTCTTTTTGCCCTTTGTAAGTTTAGTGCAGGTGAGACAATATTTGAGGAACGCCCATTGGTATGTAGTCAATTCCTTTGGAACCAAGCTTATGGATACTTGGCCTGTGACTACTGTATGAGACCACTGGAAACAGCTGAAGAAAATGCTCAACGATTGTCCTCTAATCGTCAGTTGGTACTTCCTTATCCACAGTGCTGCAATACGAAGAAAGAAAACCATGTAAATTGCTCTCAGTGTGAGGTTAGGTTTTTGGGTAGTGCCACAATGAAATTTTTTATCATTGTTGTTAAAAAAAAACAGTTTTGTATATCTTAGATAGTTTTTATTGTATTAACAGGAACAAAAAGTACTATTAGGACAAATCAACTTAAGTTCTCCAGTGTATATTAAACAAAAATTTCAAATCAGGCAAACTTAACTGTAGAATACTGAAAGCTCATCCTTGTTGAGGTTGAACTCACGCTGTCAACAAGGTTTATGACCAAAAGTTCTCAAATGCCCTTTATGCATTTCAAGTCATGTACCACCTGTAATTCTCCACTCTCCACATAACTTATTGCACATATGCAATCTTATATGTGCTCTGCTTTCCTGCTATAATTTAGATTTTTTTTTACAGTAGTGTTGTTCACTTTGCTGTGACTTTCCTTCTGATATAACTGTTTCCATCATTCTTGGAATTTCTGTAACTTTGTTGGAGCCTTTACTTATGCAATTTGCCTGTTATTTGTAGGTCTCATTGTTGCGGGTATGTCAGCTTTAAAGGTTCAAATTATTTGTGTAATTGTGTACTGATATTTCCGGCAGGTATCATGATTGTGGGAATTCTTGATTTGCATTATAATTGACATTTTCTTCTTTTTTTCAATGAACATTAATTTTGTCTTCAGGCTTAATTGCCTTTAAAGTGGGCAGAGATGGATTTTTCTGTTACAGGGCTAGCCATAATCATGCTGGTCTTATTTATTTTTCTCCTAGGTATGTTATATATTTTCAATAATGATCTCATTTCCATCATATCTTGTGTCATGTAAAGTGATATCTGAAATTTAATATTCTTTCATATTCATATTCTTTCTTCATTGTCCCACATTTTTGACATTAGGGTTGCTGATGTTTTTCAAAACTAGCCATGTATTCATATGCTTTATACTCCTTATCTACACCTCTTTCTTGAGGTTTTGACCCTTATTTGGATTCTTGGGGAGAAGTGGGTCACATGGGATGACTTTTTACTGGGATGACTTATTTATCTGGAGATATACCCCCCTCAGTTTTATCTCGGGGAGCTCCATTTAGCATTCTTTTTTCATGCAGACCTTTTTTTTTGGGGGGGGGGGGCTCAGTTATACTGTGCCCTTTTTTGGTATTCTCCATTCAGAAAGGCCATTCATCATAAGGTTTGGTGATCAATTGTTTCTGGAACTACTCCTTGGCTTTATTTCTGTGGGAGCTTGACCTTTACAATTTGTTTATCTGTGGACTCGCTTTGCGTGAGACCCTTGGGTCCAACAGGCTATCTCTCAGGAGCTTTCCTTGTTTTCCAGGGTTCATGCCTGTCTGTTTTCAAATATGTTCTGAGGGCATTCACACAGAGAATGTACTTGGTTGGTCTGCATTTCCACTAGTATATGGGCATTTGGCAACTCTTAATCTTGTCCTATGAAGCATCATATGCTATGATCTCACTTTTCCTTTGGAAGTCTGCTCGTTTGGGTGGACTGGTCAGGCTCCTGAGTCAGATTGACTCCCACTTAGCATGTGTTTATATGGTAATTTTTATCACCTAATGTTCTGTGTGGGCTTTAATCTTTTACTTTACATTTATGATATATGGAGCTTCTGGTTTTCAAGGCTCTCATGTCTCCTTTTCTTGTTTAAGAGGTTCTGTCACTTCTTTTTGTACCCTTTTCACTGGAATCCAGCATATCAGTGAAATATACTCAGTAATGCACTTGTCTTCTCTTTACCTCTTGCTGTTGTGGTGGCTCAAGTGTTTTCATATAACTCTGAGCAACCATCTTCCTCCACCCCACCTGGATGTTTCTGGCTTAGTGGGGTGCATTTCTGAATACCTTCACCATATTAGGTGGTATTCTTCAGAGCAGTCTTTCCACATTATTGTCCTTGAAATTTGGGCAGTTCAATGGTCCTGCCACCATCTTTTGTTACAGGAGTCTGGACATCCTATTTGATCTATTTCAACAACTCCTCTGTTGTTTCTTACATCAGCCAACAGGAAGTCACTCACTCTCTGGGTCTCTGCTTTCTTATTCTCAAGTTTCATTTTTAGGCTTGTGACAATAGTATCTGGTTGTTTGTCTTCTATGTTCTGGAAGCTTTGAATTTGATGGGAAATTGGCTGTTTCATCAAGGCTGAATACTTCTGACAGAGTGGTCTTTACATCTCCTAGTTTTTCTTTAGATTTGTTTCAATTTTGGAAGTTCTATTATCAATGCACTTGCAACTACCCACTTTTTTTGGTCACCATTTGCAGTCTCTGTGGCCCTGGTGGTATTTCTTCTGAGTCTGGATTGGTCCAACCTCTTTCTTTATACCTACCCTATCTTCAGCTTCTTTCCAGGATGCTCTCTTTAATTCACAGCATCTCTTGCCAGGTTCTTCTCATTGAGTATGTAAATATATATATATACATGTACTAGATACAGTGGAACCCACCATGTGGCTAGAGTTGCCTCACAAGGACTACTTCTCTTACCCAAAATCTGCATCATGTAGGGGATAAGGGAAGGTATTAAACCCACCTGCCCCTGCTCAGTCCTTGAGTTGGGGTTTTCTGCAAGACTGCTTTGGCTGTTTATATCTTTTATCTTTCAAGCTGTACTGCTACTTCACAAAATATAAAATCATCAGGTGTGGTTCCTTGCTATCACACCAGGCTAGCTCCTACTGTTCCTATTTGTAATCCAATTGCACAATCTCTCAGTATAGGATCTTATGCAGATGATAAATAAATCCTATTTGGTCCTTGCACCTTTATGATGCTCTTTCTCATGTGAATTTCTTCCTACTGCTTTGTTTTAGTGTGGTTGCTTCCCTAATACCAAGCCACTGGGGTGGTCTGTATGTAGAATTTTTCTTGAGGTTGGTGTAGTCTCACTGATATGAGACTGAGTGGATGGGCTCCTCAATCTGAAGTAGGGCAGGAATGTTTACCTGGAAGTGTATTACAGGACATTGCCTACATTAAAATCTGCACCATTCATAGGTGTTTGTGACCACTCAGACTGGTCTTATTTTCTCCATGAAATGCAGGTCTGGGATGATTATTCTGGTAGATATTTCAGATAAGTATTTCTCACATACTGTGAGTTTTGATTTATTGGTCTAGCCATGCAACACATGCAGAGTCTGCCAATCCCAAAGATATACAGGCTGGTTGAACAGTCTTTACATTCTGCTCACCATTGTGATACTTTCACAATATGTAGGAAGATCTTTGGACTGTACCTTTCAGCATCACTACTTGTACTGGTTGAGGAGTATTCCCTACTTAAGATGTACTTTGTCTCTCACTGAGTACCCCACCCCACTAATGGGTGACATACTCGATGTGTTTTCCCTTTCTGTCTCTATATTCTCTGAAAAGAGCTCGTCATTTAAATTTCTTCATCTATCATCTTTTCTATGTAGGATTCCATTCCAGCCGTCTGTTCTGTTAAGACGTGAAAAACATTTCTCAATTTAATATTTTTCTCACCTAAAATTGAAATTAAAATAAAAGTTAAAATTGGTGAGTACCAGCTCAAGCCTTAGTAAGAGAACCTTTAAGAAAATATGAAGCTGTTGTAGCAAGTAGAGATTCTCCTGCTACAACTAACACTATGCCATCTAAATGTTTGTCCACTCTTTGCAGCAAGTAGAGATTCTAGCACATTATCTTGCTACAACTAACACTTTTCCCACCTAAATGCTCATCCACTTCTTATAACAAGTAATTAATTTTTATGAAAAGATATTTGCAAAATTTCCTTCACGGGTATTTGAATGTAAAATCTGTGTTAATAATTTATATATATATATTCACTACTATAAATGTATACATATTTGTAAAATTAAATGCGGAAGTACGTTTTTTTTTCAGGTGTCTTACTGTAGTGTGGCTTGCCAAAGTCTTGCTTGGGAACAGTATCATCGAGTTCTTTGTTTTGGTGGCTCTGGTGGGGATTCCAACCATCCTTTGGAACAACTACAAGTCGCTTGGAGGTAGAGATTATATTAAGAGAAAGGGCACCATTATCATTAATAAAGTTCTTCCAAATTATTGCTTAATTGCATGAATTGTATTCACATAACAAATCATATACATGTGTGCTTTGTTTTAATACATCAATTTAGCTGTTGAAACAGGAACCATATGGTGTACCAAATTACAGTTTGTGTTTTAGTGGAATGCTCCTGAAGAAGCTGTAAAGTGAAACATTGAGTGTCCAATCAAAGAAAAACAACAATTTGGTGATAAGGTCATTTATTTCTAATATTAAAATGATGTATTTTATGTCTGTGTGTGGTTGTCAGTAAGCAGTTAAATATGTAATTCTTGTTTAGTTACTTTTTGAGGGGGGAAGGTATCCTATTATATTAGCCAAATTTGTGCTATTTTTCATTTAATGTATTTTTTTCTTTTGGTATATCATATTTTTAAAAAGCTTTATTTTTCATTTAATGTATTCTTTCTTTTGGGATATTGTATCATATATTTAAAAACCTAAGTTTCTGGGCTTTAATATCATAGTTTATGTGATGAATAGCTAAGTCTCTGGGCTTTTATATCATAGCTTACATGATGAATAGCTAAGTCTCTGGGCTTTTATATCATAGTTTACATGATGGATAGCTTAGTTTTGGGGCTTTTATATCATAGTTTACATGATGGATAGCTTAGTTTTGGGGCTTTTATATCATAGTTTACATGATGGATAGCTTAGTTTGGGGCTTTTATATCATAGTTTATGTGATGGGAAGCTAAGTTTGTTGGCATTTATATCATAGTTTATGTGATGGGAAGCTAAGTTTGTGGGCTTTTATATCACAGTTTATGTGATGGGAAGCTAAGTTTGTGGGCTTTTATATCACAGTTTATTTGATGGGATAGCTTAGTTTATGGGCTTTTATATCACAGTTTATGTGATGGGTAGCTTAGTTTCTGGGCTTTTATATCATAGTTTATGTGATGGGTAGCTTAGTTTCTGGGCTTTTATATCACAGTTTATGTGATGGGAAGCTAAGTTTCTGCATTTTTTTTGTATTTGAATCTGACTTCATAAAGTTCATGAATGCTATTTTTTGAGAAGTTTTAAAAATAGTGTTCATGTTCTACATTATTCTTAATTTTCCCTTCGTGTAATCTGTGATGAAACAGTAGTAATAAAAGTTAGTACAAAAGATGAAGAGTAAACGGTCAATCATTTTTATAATAGTTATTACTGATTTTTATTTCTGCTGGTGTAGGAATGTTCATTACCCACCAGAGACGGCCAGCATAATGTTGATAGCACGCATGATTGCAACTGTGAAACAGGTAAAATAGATGAAGTAACATTTGTTTGTATAATTGAATTAATACTTGTGTAATGTAGTCAAAAATAGAATCTGTGGTTCACCAGATAAGCTACAAAGAAACAGTTCATATCATTAAATTAGGCATATTGGAAGGCCCTGCGTTAGAGCTTGCCACTTTGCCTATTGCAATTAAGTCAGTTGGTGACCAGAAAAGCCTGCTATTCACCACAGTGGTGATAGGAATCTCTAAAACTACACTAAGTCAGTGCTAAGTTTAGTTTTGGCTCTGTTTTTCCCATGAACATTTTAAATTGTTTCGTACACAAGTATGCATTTACAGATCATCATGAGGAATTTTTTTATTAGACCCACTTGCGGCATAGTCTCACAGGCAGTGAAGTATCTTTAACTATTTAAAACTTTAACAGGCAGTTAAATATCTTTAACTATTTAAAACTTTAACAGGCAGTTAAATATCTTTAACTATTTAAAACTTTAACAGGCAGTTAAATATCTTTAACTATTTAAAACTATAACAGGCAGTTAAATATCTTTAACTATTTAAAACTTTAACAGGCAGTTAAATATCTTTAACTATTTAAAACTTTAACAGGCAGTTAAATATCTTTAACTATTTCGTCTCCACTGATACTTTACTTACGTCGTAAATCTGAAGAATTTAACAGCCTTTTGTTATTACCAGCTCCAATGGCTTATAGTTTTGTCATTTTTTCTTCTTATTGACAGAGCCTCAGTCATGTTATAAGAATGACATTGAATAACTCATGCTATGTCACACTGACCTGATACACAGTCCAATGTGACATTCATCTGTTCAGGAAATTATGATGGTAGCCATGGACACCATAGATTTACCAAAGTAAAAGAAGGTGGAAAATTTCAAGATCTTCAGATAATATACAATTCAATTATGATCATTAAATGTAGACATAAAGTTAATGGCTTAAATGTAGCCATTGAAATCATGTTACGACTGGCAATGATGATATATATATATATATATATATATATATATGCTTACTTTTGTGGCTAGTTAGTAAAGGAATTGTTTTGCAAGTGACATGCCATACCAAGTGACATGACAGTCATGGCATCGTTATGGTACACTGTAATTTTTACATTAGCACATTTTACTTGTAGAAAATAATACACTGTACTTAAGCTGTATTTCTGATAAAGAAAAACATTCATTTTTAACTTGTGCATTGATTCATAGCTTAACTTTTTAGTTTTGTCAAACCACTGGTGCTCACTCGCAGCTCTCCCTGGGGACTTGTATTCACTTGTAGCTCCATAATGGGACTTGTGCTCACTTGTGGCTCCACCAGGGGACCTATACATTGCACGTGTGTGTATATATATATATATATTTTTTTTTAAGTATGAAAACAAGCCTTAAGAACTATAGCAGAAATGCTGCATATATTAAAAGATCACCAGGCTACAATAAGATGTGCCCTGGGTTTTGGAGGTGACTGCAGAAGTAGGACCCACATTGAGGTTGGGGATACACCATTTTCCAGTCTTAACCTCTCACATATTAAAGAAGAATAAATATAAGGTAATTAAGAAAAATAAAAATAAGTTAGGCAAGCAAGATGTGGGTGCCTAAGCCCACAATGTCCTACATCTATACGAATATCAAACATAGATGTAATATATATATATATAAAATATTTTTTTCTTTATAAGAAAACCACACGTGTGTACATATATAATTGAGAAAAAGTGACTTGACTATGGTCGTATCAACTGTACTGGCTCCTATGGCTGTGATTAGTTAATATAATGTTTGTCTAAAGTAGTAAAAAATTCACTCTGTAGCTTTGCTAGATGAGCAACAAAGAAACTGTTTGTATCAGTAAAGTTAATTATAATGTTTCTCTAAAGTCGTTGGAAATAGAATATGTTACTTCACTAGACCAGCAACAAAGACTGTTTTGGCTAGGCCTAAATATATATATCTTTTTCTAGATTGCTTGACTGTTTTGGCTGGGTCTAAATATATCTATCCTTTCTGGATTGCTATACTGTTTTGGTATCATAAATATCTATTATTTTGGAGTTGTTTGACTGTTTGGTAGCCTAAGTATATTTCTTTTCTGTATTTTTTAAATGTCTTGGCTAGACCTAAATATATCTGTCCTTTCTGGATTGCTATACTGCTTTGGTTTCATAAATATCTATTATTTCGGAGTTGTTTGACTGCCGTGATAGCCTAAATATCGTTTATGAGTTGCTTGACTGCATCGGTAACCCAAATATCTATCCTTTCAGAATTGCTTAACCCTTTGATTAACTTAAATATCTATTCTTTCTGAGCTGTCTGATTGCTTTGGCTAGCCTTAATATCTTTCTTTTCAGGGTTGCATGATTGTTTTGGCTAGCCTAAATATTTGTGTTTTCTGGATTGCTTGATTGTTTTGGCTAGCCTAAATACTTGTCTTTTCTGGATTGCATGATTATTTTGGCTAACCTAAATATCTGTTTTTCCAATGCATGATTGTTTTGGCTAAACTAAATATCTGTCTTTTGTGGATTGTGTGATTGCTTTGGCTAGTCTAAATATATATTTTTTCTGGCTTTCATGATTTTTTTTTGGCTATCCTACATATCTGTTCTTTTCTGGATTGCATGGTCATTTTGACTAGTTTAAATATATATCCTTTTTGTAGGAGTATTTTATGGGATGGTTTTTGAAACTTGAAAAAAAAAGACAATGTATAAAGAAGAAGAATTCTAAAAAAAAAGAAAACAAAACAAAAACTGTCTTAAAGATACTCAAATCTCTATGTAGTATATGAACTTTAAATTAACTGGACATTTTAGAAAAAACTTACCAACATACGTATCACAAGAAAGTTTATTTAATTTTCTATTAATGTCAAAAGTTTGAATAGTAGGTAAAGATAAAACATAAGGCTTGAGTATAATTAAGCATATTTTAAATATTCAAACAATTTTAGTAAATTCTTCCATGCTAATTCAGACTCTTAGAAAAATTTGTTGAATTTTATTATATGAATGTGTATTTCAATAGCTAATAGTTTAAAAGCAAATTAAAAAAAATATTTGTAGTATTATTTGTTTCTAGTAAAAATGTGGCACAGATACATTTTAATTCTATGTAGAAGTTATAGGCTTGGGAAATATTTTTCAATAAGTATACATGGAGTGGCTTCTTAATTATAAAATTTTGTTTGTGTAGTACATTTCTTTCTGATCTGTGTAAGTTATTGCACAATTAATAGTAAATTTTGCCTTAATGATTTAATTTGGTATTTTCTAGTTTTACACTTCTAAATTTACAAAGATTTATCTTCTGTTGTAAAATTTTAGGCTAAAGACAAGGAAGGGGCCATCCATCTTTTCAGCCAGTTTTGCCATAGTACAGTAAATGAAGAAGAACAAATAGCACATAAGCTTTTGGGTGAACGTTTTCAGGTATTCATTGGGCGTGTGATTAGTGTAGTGCTATAACAATTTTTATATTCTAGTAAATTATTCATAGCAAATTGTTTTAGACTTTCAATATAGTAATATATTTTATCACCATTTTTTAGGTAGCTTTGACAGTGCTACTCATGAAATGTCTACTGATATGGTTCTCGTTAATTAAGTAAATAATATCTGTTTTAGTCCTTGTAGACTTTATGATAATGAGTGAGATAAGAAAACTGTGTTATCATTAGTTTTTATGTAATGTTGGGTAGATAATATTGACTTTAGGCATCGTAGACCTTATGAAAATGAGTAAGAATCAATAGTTTTTAAGAAATACTGGAGAACCTGAATAAATATAAAGTAACCTAACTTGCTTATTGTTTCAGGTTATGTATTCCTCAAAGTAAAATGTTTTGCAGCAACTACTATGTTACTCTTTGTCTTACAACAGTACCTACAAAAGCACTGCCCCACTGGATGTAGGACAGAAAATGTAGGCACTGTGCATGGATAGGATGATAATGCATTGGTATTTTAATGCCATCTTGCTATCATTGTAGCTGGATCCAATAGTAATTAGGTTAAGTCATTAAGAAGTAGCTTTCTCTTTCTTTGATATATTGTTTAGGCAGAGTATTCATGATGAAACTTTGTAGAATGGACAGCAACTGCCTGTTGCAGAGACACAAGTGTAGAGGGCGATGTTTCAAAAGTCTTCCGCTTTCATCTTCAGGTCCTCTACACTTTTGTCTGCACAACAGGCAGTTGACGTCCATTCTACAAAGTTTCAGCTTTCTCTTTGTTGAAAATATAATTACTGTTCATAATGAGTAAATCTCTGCTTCTTTGTTGTTGTTACTGCTTGAACATAAGCCAAATCTGACACATTACAATTATATACACACACATATATTGAATCTAGTTTTCAAAAATCTCTACAAGCCAAACAACAATTCTTAAAGGGTCACAAAGATCATCTAAGTTATACTTTTTTCTAGTTTATTTTTAACATTTGATTTGTTTTCTTCCCCAATTTCTGTGCATTGTGAAAAAAAGTTTGAAAATTTATAACAAATTCATTGTGGCTATTTAATTTCCAGCATATTCTGTAAATTTTAAATTGAAAAGCAGTTGTGTTTATATACAATAATTTATTAGTACATTTAGAAAATTAAAATTGAAAAAGTCACATGATACATAGTCATCTAATTTGTATATCTTTTTCACTTGTGAATCTAAGAAACATATCCTGTTTATTCATTATAATCACTCGTATATCATGATGTCCACCAAACTATTTAAATGTCTGAATCTATGCCATCTAGCCAAAATGTGTAAGTCATATCTAAAAGAATTATCATTCGTATTTTTTTGCATACAAATATTTTTTTGAACACAATTTTGATCATAATAGGTACAGCCAGCTTATAAGATCAGGTATCAAATAAAGGACCACCCGACCAGTGAGTTGTTGCTGAAGAATGATGAATCAGAAATGCCATTTCATCGCACTTCTTATTCAGAATCAAAAAAGGAAATAATTAAAAGTGTCTCCAGTAAAACATAATTATTGTCTTAATAGTTTGTTTAGTTTCAACGAATCTAGGTTGTCTTTGACCATAAAGATCAATTTGATGTATTTAAGAGTTTGAAATTTTTAGCAGTATTCAAAGGTTACATTTTGCAATTTCAATTTGGAAAATATTACAAAGAAAACCTTGTTAGATGTTAAAGGAGCTGATAAAGTAATACAGTTTAGAGAACTGTGCTTTTTTACATCCACTGCTGAATTTGAATTCATTTTATAAATATTCATTAAGATTTTTAAAATTTCATTAATAAAAACTGATAATGTTTAGATTATTAATGTATTTGCTTTTTAATTTTTGTTGCAGGTCCAGTTGGAGCAGTTACGGGAGTTGTTGAGTAAAGCCTTGTTTGAAGAATGTATTTATCATGTTAGTATATCCATTTTTTTATGTAACTTCATTGCCTGTTTTTAACTGAGTATAACTTTGTGATCTATTTTTACTTTATGTTCTGTAATTGTTGATAAACTAGTTTCAGGAAAGTGCCTAGATTACATTGCATATTGCAGTCATGCAAGATAAAGAAAATATATCACAAAACATTATGAAATCACACTTTATTGTAAAAGTCCATAATTATTTCCATCATTTTGTGATTCCAAGTTTACACCTGTCTGCTTTTATAAGATGGCTGTACAAAGTTATTTCTTACATTTTTGTGATTTTCAGTTCACAGTTTTCACTGTTTTTATAAAGTACCCTGAGTTTACTTTTTCATTGTTCTGATAAAGTGCCTGAACAAAATCTGTGTTTGTGAATCCAATTTTACACTATTTTAGCTTCTTTGTTTGAAATGTTTTGATAAGATATTTACCTCACTTCTTGGCCTTACAGTAGGATAAATTGCTGTGTTTCAACAGTTTTTAACAGGATATTTCTCACACTCTTGGCTAATTGTCTGTGTTTGAATAGTTTTTTAGTAGGATATTAATGTTGCTTTTTAGTTTTGCTGTTGGTTAAACTGTTGTATTCAAAGAAATATTGCATTCCTGACTTACTTCTGTGCCAAGACTATAATATTAATGTTTAGAACAAAATGGAGGATCTTTTAATACAACAGCTGGACTTTCTTCTCAGTATGATTGTGTGTTCATAAGAGCTAATAAAAAATATTTTGAAAACCCTAAGATTAGATTAACAAGTTTATTAACACTTATTTCTAAATGTGTTGAAATACCTGTTGTACCAATGATTTGGTGTAATCATTCTTGGTGTAGCGGAGTTGTGGTTGCCAGAGTAACATATATTTTTAGGCTCTTGTCTCTGGTTCATAAGGCCCGGCATGGCCAGGTGGTTAGGGCACTCGACTCGTAATCTGAGGGTCGCGGGTTTGAATCCCCGTCACACCAAAC